CTCGGAGGAACAAGAAGCCTAATTTACTGCTGTAACGAAATCTTACGCTTATGTGATAGCGGCTAATTTTGTCAGCATAACACCTCTATCGTGGTTTGGGGAGGGCGGGGGAGAGGGGAGGGGTAGGCATAGAGGATTTCAGGGATAGAAATGGCAATTGGCCTGGACGACGCACGGTTCATGACTGATCCCCGGACGGCGCTAGTGACAGCGTCATTTGCCACTGCACCGATTCCGCTCCTTCAGCATACAGGATCTGGCGCGATAAAATGGAACGAATTTCTCCAAGCCTAACCATATTTTGCACAACTCCGCTGTCGATTGCGCGGCGCATCACAGAAAGAGGGAATTCTCTGTATTTCCTGTGAAAGGGTTAGAGATTGGAGTTGATATGTTGTACATGCTCACGTTATTCCGAACTGAATGAATTCACCTGCTAAACCAAAAATACAAATAACAAACTTCTTGGAGAGCTGCTATGATGCGCGCGATTGTTGCATCCCCAATGTGTTCCATCGTGGACGGCAGTTAATCCCCTCAACGACCGCGGCAAGTGTCGGTCATCGTATTTGCATTGGCATTTTGTATGTACGGACATGAACCAAAACAGGGTCAGGTTACCTTTCGTACCTTGCTGTGAAATTGAGCCAATGAAAAGGTTGGATTTCAAGGCTAGCAGTGTTCAGTGGACAGGCGGAAACTTCGACGGAAAGTACAAGCGCTAATGATAACCTGGCCAGGCACTCACTTGAGTAACACGGGCCTAGTGCTAACTGCGATAAAGTCTTAACGCTATTTTACTGACATTAAGATTATGCCCTGGAATAGGCTTTCAAACATCACCACATATAAATGGCAGTAGGATGCATGGCGCTCCGCAAAGCGGGATTGATGCTCTATCCTTCTGCCCCTCAAGGACCATTCGTGGTCACAGAGATCTGCACCCAGGCCTACCTCATCGTAATCCCGCGGGTTCGATCTGCTCGTTGACGTGTTTACGCTAAGAGTAACAGCGATCGGATCGAGCAAAAGCTGTCACGACTGCACAATTGCCTTTTCAAAAACCATCGTGGGGTAAGGATCATCCCTTCACGGGGATCAAGAACCGTACCGCCGTTGGGTACCCTGAAAACGTAATAACCCTAAGGCGATTGCGCTTCAACACAAACCCTTTGTTTTCAGAGCATTCTACTTCTTGCTGAGACTAAACAAGATTTGTCCCGCACCAACGGTAAGTCTTCGGAAGCCAGCTGGTGAGCTTTTTCAGGTTTTCACAAATACTTTGGATAGACTTTATGTTGACAAGATCACTGGGAATGGGAGCTTAAAAGAGTTGGGAAAATGAACTACAGAGGAGTAAGTTAATTAAGAAATAAAGACGACAAACCCTCTCAGTCGATCTGTCACCCCTATACCAGAATGCGCCATAAATCCGCTCAAAGCGACAAAAAGTTCTTGAATGGGTAATGGTTACGCAATGCTCTAATAGTCAAGCGAGCGGAACAGGGGCAGTGGCAAGTGGTGCTGTTTATCACGCGCACGGTGTGGAGGTCAAATCTTGGGCCTTACAACGTCTTTAGTGATCACCAACCAACTATATCCCACCAAGGTCGGTCCTCAGGTGCCAGACTTGGCCGAGAGGGGTTAAGACACAGAACCGCACATGGGCTGGCCTCCACATGTCATTTTAAAGGCCAAATCAGAGTAAAGATAACAACGCAATCTAAATAGGAATTCCGATGCATGGCACATCCCATCTGCGTGGGGAAGGACTTGATCAACGTCAGATGCTTTATACATATATTCTTATATTCAAGTGAGCGCTTGATTGTATCTTCATAATAGGTCAGGTGTGCTTCGGTGAGTCAAATAAAAAACCGAAGGTCAGATGGTATTGCAAGATTCTGCCTCACGTGTGCGACCCAACTGGCTACCTTTCTCCTTCACGCTTCACCTAGTTTATATTCGATGGGTAGATCCTTGAAAGCCGGGGTGAAGCTCCAGTTTTGGGAGAGGCACTCCACTGGGTTCTACAATACTAAAGATAAGGATTAGAGTTCTCATGACCCGAAATCAAAGTGTACTTTTGATAAGAATCGGTGTAGAGTGAAAGTGCTCCCAAGGTGCTTCCAGGCCTGCTGTGATCCTAGAAAATGGTGAGTGGTGGAAAAGGGGCCTCAGGGTAGATGATTGATGCCATAAATTGCCTGTGATGTGAGCAGGATGTATGGGGAAGTTAAGCATACACATGCGCCTTATCAGAGTGCAGCTTCAAATAACTCGTCCCCTGTTATCCTGATCGCAAAAGTTCATGCTCTAAGCTGTGCCTCCTTAGTACTAGTGGCAGCGGATAAACGGAGAGTGTCTCCCTCCTTCTCCGCAATAGTTCAACACAGCCAACGGTATCAGAATAATGAAAGTATTAGGTACCGGATATCTTAGTGTCGTTTTTTCACCGCGAGTTTCGGACCACCAATATTTTAATTCAAAATCCAGTGAGTGAAACGGCATATCCATCGAATGACTCATTAGCACTTTCCCATTTACCAGTATGAGTGAAAACCTCGTACGATTAAAGCTAGGAATTTTTTGAGTCGAAAAAGAGAGGTAGGTCGGTTTTTGACATCATCTGACAAATCATCCCTCTCACTTGCTAAAAAGTTAGGCCTGGACAAAAGAAGTATACAGTTAGTTAGAGTAGGGTCTGCACTGTATGGTGGAAAAGTTAAAACTTACCAGCTCAACTGGACAATTTTTCCCGGAGTCTTTTTGCCACAGGGGTCAAAAACGCACCCTTTTTGAGCACACGTGAGTAGCAGATGAGCACATTTATTAGAATTTCTTGTGCAATCAACTTCGTTAAAGCGTTTGTGCATCATCGATCAGTCACTGCTAAGGTGTCCTACCATTTCAGCACAAGACTGGTGCAGCCCCGTCTCGACTGATTTAACTAGGGCCACCTTTTTGACGACGATTGCGGGCATCACTTCAAAGACTTCACTGTCTTTTGAGAAAACTGTGAAAAACCGATGAGCATTTTAAATGGTAGTATTCCCTCCAACAAATGCAATGTTGGTTTGGTGGGCGGAAGTTGTAGCTCTCAGCAAGAATTTTGAAGCATTTGGTACACACATGCGAATTTGCACACTGGACCCAGGAATTTTCAAAAAAGTATAAAAATTGGGGGAAAGTTAAATTGTGAACCAACAATAGAAAACAATAAGCAACATATTTCGCAGTATTAATGAGCAAAAAGGACTTTCTGAGATATTGATTTTCCATAGTAATCGGCCCCAAAACTTCCTGAACTCAGAAAAGCGACACTACGAAAGATATCCGGTTACCACCTGATTGGCGCGTCCCCCCGTCCGTTGTTTCAGAATCCAAGCCACCATACACCTTATTGCATTGCACTTTCCCAGACGCATTAGAAGCGAATCCAAGTGGAACACCGCCTCACAAGGACACTTCGAACAGCCAAAGTCAACACTATACTAATCAAGCGCGTCCAGTGCCAGACGTTCCACGGGAATCGCCCACGCAAGTGGCACTCAGAACGCGAGAGCCAGCGGTGCCCACTGCATTAAGCACCAACCCTGCAGTGTCCCCAAATAGGAGTTGTCAAAGAGTTTTTGACAAGCGACAACGCTGTGGCGGCGATTTGCTTGGGAAACGCATCCATTAGCGGAACGGAGGTAACCAGTTGGTTGTGTGACTGTGTTTCACACAATTACACGAACCCGTCCAGTTGAGATCCGCGGGAGGAGTCTTAAAAATGAAGAAAGGAGCTTCACAGACCAGTTAGGTTAGACGTGCCCGTCTCAATGAAACATAGAATTCGTCTAGCAGGGAATTCCGCGTCATACAGCAACGCAGTCACGCCTACATAAGCGAGTGTTTCTAAAGCTAAACGGTAAGAGCATGTGGGATTGAATCAAGAAAAAATCCACTATACGAAATAATTTCAAATGATTCGTTTTCGGCTTTCCTCAGCCGAACGTTATTAATTCGTCATCGCTGGAGCTCGTCACGATTGAAATTGCAAGTTCCTTTTCCTCAGACGAACCTTATTATTTCGTCAATCCCCGGAGCTCATCAGTGAGTTGGGATTGGCGAAATAAAGACACAGGGAAGAACGAATAAGCCTTTACTGAAATGCAAATTTACTTTTACTTTTCAGCAGAAATGGTTACGCGCTGGTCATCCCCTGAGGGCTACGCCATACATTCGTCCTACAGTTGAAATCATTCAGGTACTTAGGCGTACATTTGCTCTATTGAACGGTGACAGAAGGGAGAGGTAGGATTGCAGCATCTGCGGCATGCCGAAACCTTCAGGCGAGATTCAGAAGCCTATTGATAGGTTCTAAAACGGAGAGGGTTAAGGAGGGGATGAACAAGACTCTGGCAGAAAATGACAAACAAAGCAGACTTGAAGGCACTGGCGATGGTGGCTGGAGGGCAAAGCTTTTTCGTTGACGTCACTGGATGTCCGTGGCGAGCCCCTGCATGCACTGGAGTGTTCCAGGCATCACCTTCCAACGCCCTTCCATCAAAGACGTCCAATGACCCCCCCAACAGCGTCATCAAAATCGCCCCGCTTTCTAGCTATATTGCTCACTTAATTTGAGTACAGAACAAAGCTCACATAGCAAATGGTCCATATTGCTTTTCAAGACAAGCAACACTATTTTGAAAGCCTTAAAATTGAAAATCGTGTCAAGATTTTAAAAAAATATCAGGATCAAAAATTATAAACATTATTGGAAAGTCGTTTTCCACTGCGCCACAAGCAGGACATATTATGGTTTCTACCTTCGAGAAGCTTTTACACAACAGTTGGGCCATCTAAACTATCCGCTTCAAGAACGCAAGCGCACTGGCCAAGCCCAACTAAACCGTTCGGCCGAATGCATACCGTATGAACGGCTAATTTATGAAAATAACTCTTGAAACTGAACAATTCGAGAAGAAGTGCTATCCAAAAGCATTGTCACCTACCGTTGTTTGAGTCCTGTTGATGAGCACTGAGATGAGACCATCGGTGTACTCGGCCCGGTCGTTCATGATGCACTGATCCCGACATCCAACCAATAAACAGTTTGGTTCGCCTTCATGCGGCACTATGACACCGGTGAACGTCACACCACGGCAGTCTGAAAGCACGAGAATTCACCCACATTCGGAAGCGCTCTGAAAGACCTACACTCTCTTCTATCTCTTCTCCCGTGTAAATTCGATTTTTTTGGTATTACATTCATGCTTTTGATTACTTTCTTAGGGGAACATGCCGCAATTATTCAGCTACACAGGAGCAATTCTTCTTGAGCTGAGTCCGCAGGTGCAGAGGTAGCGCCAATCGGAGCTGCATCCCAAGCGTGCTAGAGGCTTATGACTCATACACGAATATACCACGTGTACGCCTGCATGTTGACACTTCCGAATGCGTTAGTGTCCGCGTCTCACTCGACCTCTATACTCTCTCCCTTACCCAAGCCGGTGTACCGCTCTGGCAAGGAACTGTGCTCTTACAATGTCATCTCACACAATCGCCCACCGCCGAAAATGACAGCTCAGGTGGGAATCGGTTTCGCGGAGGGGGAAGGGCACTCCTTGCTATCTTATCCTTGGCTCTAGACACTCCGGCTCTCTAACGCAACAGCTAAGATGAAATGTGAACGTATTTGAAGTACACTTTGATAAGGACCGCCAAGTGTTCTACATTTTACACATCGGGCCCACATTCGATCCGAGTTTCTGCACCGGTTCATTCACCTTGCTCTCCTTCACTCTTGATCGACGCGAAGATCTCCATTTCTCAAGTTTAGGGCCATTTCCTTGGACCATTGCAGGCCAAATTGGGAAACGTGTCATGAGCGTTCTCGCCCCCCCGCCCCTTCTTATCCTTGGAGCATGGGGGAAAGCACAATGGAGTGCTTGCATTCCACCGCCCCCCCTCCCGGGGACCGGGATTTTCACCCAGCCCTCATAGTAGGTTCTGATTTCTTGTTCCTTTTTTTGCGTAATGGTTGGCCCATATTCGACAACGAGCTTTTGATTTTCTAGGGAGCATAATAAACTACACAAATATTTGATGAGCGTGAGGGTGACCTTTAAGTGCAGTCACCTGGTGGGTTTCAAATCAATCGGGATGTTACAAAATTTTATTTAATGTTTTAACCCATAGGTTGACTCATAGGCAGTGAGGATGTAGGCGGGTGTCCTTTTCAGCCAGTGTTATGCACGAGGCTATAATTTGTTATTATTTTCCCTCAAAATTCACCTGTCCTACGAAGGCAGGTGGTGAAGTTAAGTGAAGAAAGTGAAAGTATGAAAACGAGAACCTCACAGCAGGTCGCTTCACATGGCATTGCGATATTACACAGGCTATTTCTAGAAATCTCCCTGCATTCGAAATCGTGATGACACTATAGCACGGTGAGGACCAATATAAGACTTTCGTTACAAAAACTGTATGCCATTTTATGTGGGTAAGATGCCGATTTCACATGCCGCCTACAGGAATTATTCTTCAGGGAGTAGGCTAGGCACAGCGTGTTTTTTTAAGCACAAGGCGAGTTTTGGTCAGCATGATAAGCTCACCTCAAAAAGGTGTGAGGCTGTGTCGTAGTACAAAAGAGAAAGCATTACACGTAATTCAGTTCCTCTCTGGTTTGCGCCCTGCACTATAATTCCATTCAGGATGGAGCCGTTCGAAGGGGATAAGGTAAAAGATGAGCGTTCGGTGATAGCTTGTTTCCTATTCAAAATACGCTGCATGGTTCAACAAATTTCAGACTCGCCGTGTTATCTGATGGCTTTTGGTCTATACCAGTGGCTCTGGATGAGAAAAAGGGAGGGGAGAGGAACCGCAAGGAGGGGCGGAGGTAGCCGATGTACAGCTCAGTACTTTTTCCTACCAGGCAAGGCCGGTACCAATCAACGGAAGGATCGATGGCGCACTAGCGAAACTGAACGGATTTAAATTGTGTTTTACGTATTACCATGTACGCAGTGAACATACTTTCATTTAGCGATTAATACCAGTACTCAAATTAGGGCTTTGCGTCACACAATGACTTTGGGAAAAGCCGAGTGTTTTTATTTTTTTTTTTTTATACCACTCAGTGATATATCGCCGAGATCAGCCGGGTACCACACAAACGATTCTTGAGAAGGGCGCGCTTGGTTGGCTGGGGCAGTTTCATCCGTGATTCAGAACCCGAAACGTGGAGAGGGAGCGTTGCTACTTGGTAGATAACCGACCGCTCTTATGGCAATTCTGCCCTACGATAACGCCCTAGGGTCACATTACTCGAGTATTTTCAGTACACAATTTTAGGTAGTCTTTTACAAAAATAAGATTTTTATTCAAAATTTGATCTGGTTATGAAGCAGAGTAAATATGGAGATCCCTTCGTTTACACAAAAACTGGTAACCAAGTTGTTCACTCGCTACTGCATTTGAAGCATTCCGCTGAAGAGGGTGTACCTGAAGTGGTCTGTGAACCCGTTAGGCCGTTACCTCGAATTACGCGCATAAGTCCGGTTGCTGCAGGTTCAGTGGTAATCAAGGTGAAGTGATACCAGGGTACCTAAGTACCTGGACGCTGGAGGCGAACCGGAAGGATAATTCATTTCTGGGCAGCCTAGATATCGCATCATAATCATATAAATCCTTAACGGCCTATTTAACTGCACACTTCATTTCACTGCCTCTAATTTGCAAACCCGCCAGGCAAGCCCTTCGTGTTAGGATACAGTCGCCGAAACCATATCGTTTGAAAGTTAGGCTATTCTCAGGACACTTTAACACAACTGAAACAGGTTTGCTATAGTGAAACGTTTCGTTTGGGAGACGCTTCCATGAAATTGTTATTCTCACACATCTAAGAAAAGTTCGAAGTAGCCAGATATGTTTCCGATTCCGTCAAGACCCATTACTTGCTAAACCAGTTCTAGGGAGCGCCAAAGAAAGTTGTACCACAGCAATGAGAGGGTGAGTCACCTGTGTTCCACTATTATATCCTTGCTGACGAGATCCAAAAGATAGAGGATGTAACGTTTTCACTAGGAGGACACGCATTCTAGTCCAACCCAGAGCCGTAGTAACATTTGAAGATGATGTAGCGTATACAATGACTTGCGAAGACTATTCGATGAACACTCTCTAGTCATCAGTCCAGACAGGCCAGTTGCCAATCAATCGCTTCCTGAAGGAAGGAATATCTGGTTTGCCAAAGCGCGATTCCATCCAGCTATTATACTCTAAACCGTGTATGTGGAAAAGTGGTGTCACTAGACCAGCTCCACCTTTAGATAGCATTGCCAGCTCGAAAACTGCGACTAAAGTCGAGCTTAAGGTAAAGAAATGACGTTCTTAGAAGAGTTCAGTTGGTGCTAAAACAGCGAGCGGATCCCGCACATTCTCACTGATCTCGTCCGTACCTTCCTTCCCTTCAGAGATGAGCTAGGTTTCATATTTTGTCCAGCGCTAAAGGTACAACCAGGCAGAAGTCATGCAAAGGTTCCCTTTGGTCGTTAGGATAGACGTCAAGATTGATATATGCTTCCTCTAGGACAACTACAGATGTGGCATCCCCGTGCATGAAAATGGCGCTAGGGCCTCTGGCTGCAGCAGCTGAAATGTTCCGCGTCTATAGCAGACGGTTATCTGGCGCCCTTTTAACTGGAGCGCCTCATACTCTCCTCTCCGCACTCATTCTGTCGTTGCGTTAGCCAGTCGCGCCAAAAGTGGTGAGTAATCCGTCAACTTAAGCGTTTCCAAAGATTTCTTCACCCTCTTCTTTACTGCCCAGTTTGCTCAGTACTTTCATGTTCGTGAACAAAACCGCACCAGTTTAACCGTGAGGCAAGCATTCAATTCCTGCTAGTCTTAAGATCTGCTAAAGGATGACCTGCGACTGTGCATCAAAAAAGTCCATATCAACATTATACATATGAAAATATAAGCTCTTATACAACAAGGCAAGGTTTTCTGTTCTCGTTCAGACTGATTCGGCGCGGGATGATAGTACGATGTAAGCTGAGTCTCTGTTGTAACCCAACAGATACATTATTTCAGATCTGCTATAAAAAATTCATAGCCTTGGATGAGCGGAAGATTGCGCTTTCCCCAAAAAATATCCGGAACCATGTATATTGTACAGCGATAGGTTTTTCAAGTAACAGTCCCGACTCAGCCATCAAAGAGCCTTGTTGGAATTTTGTTCGGCTGCGAGCCAGGGTGGCTAAGCTGAGCGATGTTCCTATAAGGAAGGGTAAATAAAGTTGCGCTCGGTGTTGGCATCCAACAAGTCGATCTCGCGCAACATGGTAATTTACAAATCCCCGGGATTTGTTCTATTCTAGTTTGTCGAGTACGAGAGTATTGTAGTGACAAGTGGAGCTACTGACAATGCACACGAGATCAAATCCTGGGTCATACGCCTCCAAGCCAACTAAGGTCTTCCGTCCCTTTAAAGGACGGTTAAATGGTGAAACGCTTGTCCGGAGGGACAAAGCACTGAATTCTACAACGGACTCATCCCCGCCTCTGGGAAATAGAATCGTCCATCCCAAATCTATGAATAAACCTAAATCCCTTCGCCCCTTTAGGAGAACTCGCATTTAAGGTACTATGCCATTGAATGGAAATAGCACTTGTGGCGCATCCGGGAAAGGAAGCGATCAACGCTGGATGCTTTCTGCTTTTATTTCGAGCTTATCAAGACCTACCAGCGTTCCACTACTGGATAATAAACACCGAGAATGACGTTTCATGTCTCACAAGGGTGGAGAAGGTACTCCAGGAAGGACGAAAACACTGTCATGGACAACGGCTGGCCCATGTACATGGGCTGGGTCGCTTCAAATGATCACACGATTCGAGTGGCAGTGAAATATATTGCGCATCTAAAGAGACTGATTAGTGCCAAATGTTTCAGCCCTCATTCTTCACCCCCGCCGCTGTCGAGAGGGTAGGAAGCAAATCAAACAGTACCGGGATACCTATCATGAGGACCGTTCGGACCAATGACCGGGTTCCATGAATACCCTGGACATTAAAAAGGGGTCAGTGGCACTTTTCCATGCTGTCCTACGACTACGCCACACTGACACCCCCAACTGTCTGATGGGAGAGTTTTTCGTTGGGGTCGTAAATGTCCGAATTGAGGCAGAATATATCCCATTGGGACGGCGAACAGTGATATAACCGTGAAACGACGCGACTCTCAGAGCGAGGCTGGTTTTCGGAAACGATGGACAACAGCCTCGACGACGACGACAACGACGACGAGGATCACACACAGACATGCAAATTCATCCCTTTCAATCCGACACCTCGGATGATCTCAGCGCGGGTCGTCAGTCGCCCCAGCAGCCACTCCGCCGCGGGAAAAGGATTTCGTGACGGAAGTGATAAACTGAAGTCATTCTGTCATTCCAAGGACATCATGAAATTCCACTCAGGATTTATCGCTGCAGCGATTCAGAGATTACATAAAGCGACGGTCAGTTGGATGATTCGAAGGGCTCTTTGGATCAGGGGGTTGAGGTTCGAGCTACCTGTTACAGTCTAACCTTGTTTGGCAGATGAAGCGAGTTCAGCAGTGGCCCCCTCTGGGGTGCGCCACGCATTCTTCCGACATTTGAAACGTAGTAATGCATTTGACCACACGACATGCGAGTAGGAACCTTTATCATCCCAGATAAGTGTGGTATCGGGTGAACGACCCCTTAGGGATTGAAAGGTGAATGGCCTTCGATTCAGATCAAGGTCAACCATCGGCTAGTCCGTTTTCATAAGGTTTTTTGACTCCCCTCTTATCAGGCCCTTATTATGACCCTTAACACCGCCCATCAGAAGCCTTGGGAAGGGGATTCATAATATGGATTAGTTTACCTATCTATTCGAGGATAAAGCAACAATAGTTACTCAAATAGCTTTTCCATCTTCCCTAAGGTCTTCAAGTTCCCGGATAAAGGGTCAACCTTCAAAAAAGTGCTGATATAATAAATTATTCAAGTGGAAACGTAAATTAAAGTATTGGAGCATAAGGAGCAAGGAGCACAGCATACGCGTCTCTATTCGAGCCCGCTGTCCATTTACAAAGCCTACCAGACGAGCGGCTCAAAAACTAATCTCCCAAACAGTCCCATATGAACTCATCGAAGCACAAATGAAGAGACCGGGTGTAATAACACAGAGAATTTGTGATTACCAAAAGCGCTCGGGCAAAGAAGGAGATGCTGCCAAAGTTTCCGGTATCCCTAGCCATTCAACCCCATTACCTGCATTTGAGCATGTTCAAATCTTCGTAAGCTGCCAACATGCAAAAATCTAAGCTTTGAGATCGAAACAGCTTCAGTTTTTCTAAGGCATAGCGGCAAATTAGAGGTTTTAACCTCCTGCTGAGACTTGATGACCCTTCAAGAATAACATCCAACAAAGAACGTTCTCATACCACGGAACGTTACAGTTTGGGTTCTTCAAGTAGCCCTTGAAAACCCAAACTCGACCCTCTACTAAAACAAGTTGAATTGTTTGCGCAAGAAATTACCGTACCAAGGGGTAAGACACAGAACTTCTTCCCTGGAATGAGCTGCCTCTTTAGCCTCACGAAAAAACCGTAGACTACCTGGGAACGTTGTAGAGTATAGTTTTTTCGAGAGATCCTACTCAACTCGTTTAAGGTACAGGCAAGCTCAGAAGTTTAGCAGCTCAGGCAAGCTCATACATTCCTACACGTCATCTTATGAGAGCGATCCTGTTCTGAGACAGAATGAATACATTGAGGCTTGATTTTCTTCTAGGAAAAGCGATCATACTTTTTAAGAAAAGACAAACACTGGATAGCTTGGATACTTAGAAGCCAGCCAATCCCTCTCCGAAAACCGCGCTTCGAATAGCGCAACGCCCTTGGAAGCAAGGTTTATGTTCTCGTATAAGAATTATTCTGCATAGAATTTCACGGAAAATTGATCAGCATTGGGTCAAAGTTAATAATTGAACAATACTGTTGGCAAAATAAGTATTCAGAGGATGGGGTGTGAAGGGGAAGCGCGTGGGGAGAGAGGGTATGTACCTAGCCATACTCTGCTCACCAGCGAAATCTTTCAGGACTTGGCCTTCCCGCCAGGGTCAACCCTACGTTGTTACTAATAACAACGGCGGGGGGGGGGGTCGTATAGGTTGGGGGTTGGGAGTGCGCGGGAGAAAAACTCGCCGTTCTAGCGCGTGTATATCAACCCCGCACCCCCCCCCCCCGCTCGACGGCATTTTTGGAGGAAAAAGTGGGCGGAGTTTGGTGGGTTGAGAATTAAATACTATAGAGACGATGATGGTGGTGGTCGAGGTGTGGAAAAGGGGGTCGTATCAAATCCACCTTGGGGGAGGGGGGTCGTAAAAATTTTCAAAAAGTAACAACGATAGGACCGACCCTGCTTCCCGCGTCTTAAGGGGGGGGGGAGCACTGTAGTGTAGCGTTTTCCCAAGTGACCTAATAAGCACACAAAGCTCAAAAAATATTTGAAATGTACTTTTTCGCAACATTGCTTGTTGAATATAGCCGGTAAAATAGTCGCGCATAGACTAAAGCTAAAATTAGCAAAATTATCATCAAAACAATTATCACACAAAATTATTAAATCACGATGTTCACAAAAACATCAAAACTGATATTTTTAAATTTTATGGCGATGCATTGCCTAATAAAAGGATTGGGTTCATACAAAACTTACGGGTATAAAATGTAGGGAAAACTCCACGCTGGTTTTTGGCATTCCCGGATTACTCAAAAAGGAATGGTTTCGTGTTTTGTGAAAGTGAGTGTACCCATGAATCGCAATTGAATCCCACTTAAAAAATGTAGAAAAACAAAAGCAGGGAGCACTTCAAACCGGGCCAAGCCTGGTATGAACGATGAGGTTTGAAGTGATTTCGTAATCCAGGCAGCATAATTTCATACTCTATTATTCAAACACTCACATGACCATCAACAGTCTTATTATAGAAACACTACAATCTAATAAGTAAGTAGTAAGCGAATCGTGTAGAGCCAGAAGATTGATTTTTTAGCCTTTTTCGAAAGGATCGCTCTTCATAAACCACCTTGGAAGGTTCGTCAAAAATTTTTTTGGAAAACTGAAAATTGACCACCAAGAGGCGCTCATCCGGTAAGGGGGGGGGCATTGTGATGCAACGTCTAATAGCTGCCCTCACCCCCCACCCCCTGAACTGGCTTCACTCCCCCTGGCTCACGGGGTCCCGTACTTCGAGAAACCTGTGTGTAGGCAGTCTAGGGGGGTGGGGGGTGAGGGCAGCCACTTGATGCCCCCCTTACTGGATGAGCGCCCACCAAGACAAGATCCCTGCTTACAAAAAATAAGTAGAGGAGATAAAAGGAAGATTTTGGAAAGCGCAGGTAGACAGGAGAGAGAGGGTCGGGTGCTATCGAATGGTCCTTTGCGAAGTAAGATCCAGCCCTGATTTGAGCCCATACCAACAAGAGCTGGCTCGAATGAATGGCTTAGAATTGAACCCATGAAGAATACAGAGAGCAACATCACGAAGTGAATATCCCGATTTTTCTTTCTTTTTTCTGCGCATATGATCGAGATTAGGAATCTTTTCCCGCACGAAGCAGCAGGCGATATGAGTACCTCTCGGATCGGTAGCAGGTAATTGGACCTTTGTCAACCGAGTCGTCATCGGCATACGCACCCGCGCCCGCTTCATCGCCCATACGGGACCTAATTTGCTTTGTGCTAGCCGCGTTTCCTTGGCGACGTTCTCCTGGCTTAAATCGCCACCACACCCAACTCCACGTCGCTGGAATACATCAACAACAAGTGATGAGATCAGGGATTGTTCATGGGACCTGCCGACAGGGATGCATTCTGAAGCCACGGTCATCTACAGAGGAGGGTAAGCGCTTTCGGAAGGCTAGGAAATGCTTTCAAAAGAAAAACGACGCTATCGATCTGTCAACATGTCCATTTCTTCACTTCCGCGTGTACCGGGTTTATTATTTGATCCGCAACGAGACAATCTCATGGCTGGCTAGAACAAATAGAAGAGAGCGTCGCTGCAAACATCGTAGCAAGAGCTGGGTTATCTCATAAGGGTCCTGTGTCCGATTTTTGGAGTGCGCTGTGCTTTCTGGTCTTTTTTGCAACATTCGACTACACCAATATTTATCAGAAGTCTACTTTAAATGAGTCGATTACGTGTCGTGAGCCTTCTAATCCTTATCTTGAGTATTGGA